TAAATAAATAAATATATATATATATATATATATATATATATATAACGTTAGAGAGCATATTACTTGTAAAAATAAAATAAAATAGAATACATCACTAGCTGTGTATTTTTTTTATCAGTTTATTTTCTATAATTTACTTTCTGTGTATGTTTATGCATCATATTAAACCCCCATTATTCTAAAATGCAGAATTAAAATTTGTTATAAGATTTTAAAATGGTCATTACACATGATTAATTAGTGAATTTTTTTTGTTCTTCTAAATATAAATAAATTTAATTTTAACTCTTTAGTTCTTTTGTTAATTTTTGTCTTCATAAATTTTAAAATTGTTCATGGTACTACTTATATAATGATGTGCGTAAGAATTTAAATATATTACATTAGTTTGATTTTGTTGTCCTTGTAAATGAACCCACAGATTCATTCATTTGTACGGACTGATCAACCATTTGTAAATCACTTGGGCTAGATCAGGTCAAATAGAAGCATCTAATAGTATAAAAAGCAGAAAAAACTGGTCATGATAATTATCATGTTAATGCAAATAATAAGTCAAATTATATTTTTAGTTTTTTATTTTCTTTATTCAATTATTTTTTCTTTATTTTTAAAATATTTATTTTATTTTTATTTTTTAAAATTTGCATTCATTTAACTTTTTAGCAATAACTAATATTTTTATAGTTTGTGTAATGCACAAACATATTTATTATATATAATTAAATTTTATAATAATATATTAATATAAATAAATATTATATTTGAATATATAAATTTTATCTAAAATTAATATATATAAATATTTTTAAATATATAAATTATATTTTAGATTTATGATAAATAATATGTATTGTAAAAAAAATATTTTTATGTATTGATAATTTACTTTAAAATATTAATATTTAATTCATAAATAATTTTGATAAATAAAAATTGAATTGGGTAAGAAATTAAAAAATTTCTAAATATTCTCTTGTTGAAGAAAAGTTCCTAGAAATATTCTCGTGTAAAATAGAAATTCGTGTTTAATATGTAGGAGTTGATCATTTTAATTTTATACATAAATTTAAATTATATTTATAATTAATTTAAAATTTAAAACTTATCTTATTAAATTTACTTATATAAAAATTATAACATGACGAAGTTAAAAAAATATAAACGTAGGAAAAAATATCATAAAGTAAGTTCAAAAGTAATAAAAAATTAAAAAAAATTATATTATTTTTTTAATTATTTTTTGAATTCCAATGTCAATAGAATTTTATAATTTTTCATAATTTCATAATTTTCACAATAAAAACAAGTTTTAGGTCAGAATGTGTTAAAACAAGTCATACATGAATCATAAATGCAAGTCATTAGTTAAGCCTCCATCAATTTAACTATTTAAGGGGCTTGGCAACTATTTACATTATTTCCTCGTCATTCCAAAATCTAAATTGTTATCTTCTCTTTTTCCTCACCATTCATTGTTTGAATCCTCTCTAACACCTATTGGCGTTTGGAACTAAATTAAAGCATAATAATGTTATGCATTATAACAAAAATTTTGTTGATATTATACAAAATTAATATATGTACATCTTATCCTTACTTTTTCTTTGTTCTTTACTATTGTAATTATTTATGATTATTTGTATTAGCATGTAAATTTTTGTTGTAATTATTTTGTTTTATTTTAGTGGATAATCTCTTGCTAAGTCTATGATTATAGGTAAATTTACACATCTAATGATGGTGGATACTTGTGTTTTGCTAACAACTTGTATGTGCATGATGTATGGTTGTCATTATTCATGTATTTTCTTATATATGAATGAAAATATGCAGAACAATATTATCCAACAAATACAAAATTGCTATGTTCTCTCACTTTCCTCTTTTATATTTTATGATTTTTATGTTTTATGGTTTCGTTGTCTATTGTATGTCCTAACAGTGGTATCCAGAGCATTGTTCTTATAGGTTGTGGGTTAGGAAAAAAATTGAGATGAGAGATTAAACACTTGTGAGTGATAAAATGACTTCAAGGAATAATGATGTATTTGGTGTTCCTTAATTTTCTAGGGAAAATTATCATAATTGTCAAGATGAGATCATGTTTTAAATCTTTTAACTTTTGGGAGCGTATGTAGATCAAGATAAGCAAGTTCCACCATTGAGGGGTAATCCTACCATAATTCAAATGAAGCAACATGAGAAGGAAATTTTGAAGAAAGAGAAAGTTGTTTCATATCTACATTCAGCTTTGACAGATGATGATTTTACAAGCATTATGAATCTGGAAACAACAAAACAAATATGGTATGAGCTGAACAAAATGTATCATGGTGATAAAAAGATGAAAATCATCAAGTTATTGACTCTTAAAAGAGAGTTTGAAATGTTGAAAATGAAAGAAAGTGAATCAGTAAAGGAGTACACTTCAAAGTAGTTTACTTCAAAGTAGTCTCACTTGGTGAACCAAATGAGGTTATATAGTGAGGTTGTCCATGACCACATGGTAGTTGAAAAAATGTTGATCAATCTACATGTAAAATTTGAAGCCAAAGTTGCTACTATTGAAGGGTCATGTGATTTTAAGAAACTAATTATTTCTAAACTGATCAATAAATTACAAGCTTATAAGCAGATATTTTTCATGAGAATGGATAATGTAACTAAAGGTGCATTTCAAGAAAGACATAAAAGGAAACAACCTTGTTAGAAAAATCAAAAGAAACATAATTATAAAGCAAGTGGTGACCAATAAGGAAAAGTATGGTGGATGGGAGTAGTGAATCTATATCAAACAATTTTTCTCCTTATTCTACATGCAAAAGAACAAATCACTTGTCAAAAGGCTACTGGTACAAGGGAAAGCCTCAATTCAACATATTATTGTCTAGTTCAATACTAATCTATATAATATATACAATGTCTATCATTTAATTGAAAAGATGTATAAATTAACTTCAATAACAATTAATCCTAAATTTAATAATAATTATCATTACTTAATAACAACGTACACCAATAAAATTAAAATAATGTACACAAATATATATATATATATATACGAAAAGGATAAAACTAAAACATAAATTTGTAGCCAATTTACACAAATAAAATTAAAACAATGTACAAAAACATAAATCAATCTTGATTAACCTAAAAAAAAAAAGATGCATATTTAGTGCGGATATCTTCCATGTCATCATGGAAAGACGGATGTAAATTTTTGAATACCTACACAACTAATTCAAAATAGAGATAAATTAAACATTAGTTAATCACTATATTGTTGTATAATCATTTAAATTAATGAATTTGAATTAAAAATGTATTACCTCTCTCCATGAGTCT